GGTGGGCACATGTGAGCAAGCCACACACAATAGTGGGCTTCCTCCACTATTACTCAAGTTAGGTAAATTGAGGCAGCTTGGTAAGCCATCAACCTCTTCTAAAACGTGCTCACCACCCTAAATCAGGGCCAGGCACTCCACCCTGCTGTCAGAACACTTGCATACATGTCCTGCTGAAGCCCATGTCTCAGTTAGCTGATCCTGCATTCCCAGGTCGGGTGCCAACTGGCTTCCTTCATCTTCCACCTGCAGGGCTGATCTGCTTCTGGCTGACAAGGGAAAACTTCAGAAGTACCATCATCAACCCATCCATTTCTTCAACAAATATTTTGAATATTGACTTAATTAGAGTTGGAGTCAAGAACTTAGATGCAGGTACTTGACCTGGGAGGTGATCCCAGGAGCAGGAGAGGAGAGAGACAGCGAGTGAGAGAGAGAGCCCAGGAAGACCAGGAGGACCAACCAAAGGGGGCATTTTTGAGCTGGTCACCACTAACGGTCACTGAGGCTCACTTCTACTGAGGACTCGGAATTGGTCCTCTGGGGACAGAAGGCTGACGCATATATTCCCAGTTAGTTAAGGGCAGCTGTGAAGCAGGCTCACTGTGTGCTGGTTACCAACATGTCTGCGTCCAGTGAGACAGAACGCATTCATACTCAACAGGTTATATGAAGCAAATTTCTTACCTTCAGACAGGTAGCAAGGGACAAGAGAGGCATTCGTTGCATGCTGGTCGCCCGAGGCTCAATAAATCTGCTCAGGGCAAACGGAGTCTCAACTGGGTATGCCCCACCTGCACCACAGATGAGGGACGCCGCAGAGCAGGCTGCCCTGGGCTTGACATCCCAGGGTGATGTCATTTGCCGGGCTAACATGTTGAAGGACAGCCTGTTTTCAGCAGGAGACTGGAAGTGAGCTTCGGCTGTTTGACCAGCTCTCCCTTACCTCAAGATGTTGCATTCCTGGCACGATCTACAGTTATTCCTGAGAACTACATGGAAAAATGGTGACTGGGTCGGTCCAAGGCCACCCAAACTGGAGGTGCTGTGGGGATGTTAAATTTCCCTGAATTCCAGGCTGTGCCTGCTCCCAAGGCTTCCAGAGAAAGTTGTAAGATGGGCTGGGCACGGTGGCTCACACCTGTAATCCCAGCACCTTGGGAGGCCAAGGCAGCGGATCACAAGGTCAGGAGTTTGAGACCAGCCTGGCTAATATGGTAGAACCCTGTCTCTACTAAAAATAAAAAAAGTAGCTGGGCGTGGTGGAGGCTGCCTATAGTCCCAGCTACTTGAGAGGCTGAGGCAGGAGAATCTCTTGAGCCTGGGAGGCAGAGGTTGCAATGAACCAAGATCATGCCACTGCACTCCAGTCTGGGAAACAATGCGGAAACTCTGTCTCAAAAAAAAGAAAGAAAGAAAGAAAGTCGTTAGATAATCCCTAGAGGACAGCAACATGATGCTTGAGGTGGCAGCATTCAAGGGAACTCTCCACCACAACCAGAGAGCTGACAGCAGTGGCGGGCAAGAGACATGAGCACCAACAGGGCATGTGACAGGCACCTGCCATGCTCCAGACAGACTGCTGGTCATGCAGCAGTGAGAAAGACAGACCCATGTATTTGTTCTCATGGAGCTTCCTTTCAGGAATAGAAAAAAGAATGTATCAATAAACAAGTCAACAAGTAAATAATAATGAGTGTTGTGTTTTTGCAAAAATTATGACAATAAGAAAATACGACATAGGAAAATTATGACAGTGAAAGGAAACCTGACCTAACTGACGCCATCTTACTTCTAACTTCCAAGCTGCCCTTGTTCATTCCTGGGCATAGGCCAAACAAATTTGGGGAGAAATTTAGTTTATAATTTCACTCTATACCAAAGATAACAGCTCCCCCCTGAAGCAAACCTCCTTCTTGCTTAGGGACCAGACCACCTTTGTGAAACTAACAAATTAGTCACAAGATTAAAAATTATGGCTTAGGAGTCATGCAGCCCGAAGCCACAGATTCCCAACCGCCCCAATTACTCCAATATTACTATTATAAAACATAAGATTGGTGTTCAAGGTATTTTTCAGACCTTGCATTGTGACGGACCAGCCACCCAGACTGGTAAACTGGCTCATCTGGTCTTGTGACCCCAACCCAGGAACTGACCCAGAGAAAGACAAAAGCTTCATCTCCCTATGATTTCATCCCTAACCCAACCAATCAGCACTCACCACTCCCTAGCCCTGTGTCTGCTAAACTATCTTTTAAAAACCCTAGCCTCCAGACTGCACAATCCCAGCACTTTGGGAGGCCGAGGAGGGCAGATCACTTGAGAGCAGGAGTTCAAGACCAGCCTAGCCAACACAGTGAAACCCCATCTGTACTAAAAATACAAGTAATTAGCTGGGCATGGTGGTGCGTGCTTGTAATCCCAGCTACTTGGAAGGCTGAGGCATGAGAATCGCTTGAACCCAGGAGATGGAGGCTGTGGTGGGCCAAGACCACACCACTGCACTCCACCCTGGGCAACAAAGCAAGACTCTGTCACAAAAACAAAACCCCCCCAAAAAACCCTTAGCCTCCAAATTTGAAGAGAGGCTGATCTGAGGAATAACAAACCCCTGGTCTCCTGTTTAGCCAGCTCTGTGTATATTGAACTCTTCCTCTATTGCAATTCCCATCTTGAAAAATTGGCTGTATCTGGGCGACAGTGAAGAAGCCGTTGGATGGTTACAGAGTGACAAGCTGTGAAGGAAATAACATAAAAGGTGACAGAGAATAACTAGAGGAGGCCACTCTAGATAAAATGGTCTGAGTATTAAACATCGAGGAAGAATCTACAAAGGTAAGATTTGGTGCAAGAGCTTTCCAAGTAGTGTACAACACACACAAAAGCTCAAGCCCCCAAAAAGATTTTACTTTCACAAATTCTAGAAACTCTTAAGAGTGAAAAATGGTGAAACAGGAGGAAGTGATAACACATTTTCTGACTGCTGCAGGCAGAAACAGGGCCATCACCGCTTCACAACAGGATCTCAAAATACTAGGAAAAGTGTAAATTAAAACCGTGAGATATAGTTTTGTCATTGTTGGATTGGCAAAGATCCAAAAGTTTGGAAAGACCCCACTGGTGAAAATGTGTGGAAACCCACAGTCTTAAACATTATTTGCCAGAGTGTCAATTAGTACAGTGTCTAAGGAGGGCAATTTAGCCATGTTTACCCAATATATTAAAGGACATACCCCACCATAGCCAATTTCACCTCTAAGAATATTTCTGACAGATATAACTATCTGTTATGCATGCACAAAGGCAGTCCTTGGGATCCAGTTGCATTATTCCTAACAGGAAGCAACTGGGAAAAACTTCAAGGTCCATCCGCGAGGGCCCGCATAGCCTAACCTCTGTAATAACCAAATCTCAGGGGCAATGTCCAACCAGGAGCTTTTGTGCGACCTTCCAACAGGAACCACATGCCCGGCTGCCAGGCCTGGTCTATGCATTGTCCCTGAATCCCATACAGTAAGCACTTGTTCACTCTCAAAAGTGTCCCATCCTGAAAATAAACTCTTGCCCACTTGGTGCTTCAGGAACCTGGGCTTCTTCCACCAATAGCTCTCCCAGATGCCCCAGTGCCCCAGGTGGGTCCATCCTTTAGGGCCAGGCCTGGCTGTAGTGCACCCACACCGCCAGACGATGTGGGCCAGGAAGGGGCTCCGGCTCTCGCGGGAATGAGGGTGTCTAGCATAGGGGTGCACGTGGGCAACCCCCACCATGGGGTCCCTAAGTAAACCAGGGCCTGCACCAGGACAGTCAGGAGTTGCAACCTTGGTTATTTCTAGGAAGACATCAGACAATGGGGTCAAAGGCCGGGTGCAGTGGCTCATGCCTGAAATCCCAGCAGTTTGGGAGGCCAGGGGGCCAGATCACCTAAGGTCAGCAGTTCGAGACCAGCGTGGCCAACATGGTGAAACCTCGACTCTACTAAAAATACAAAAATTAGCTGTGCTTGATGGCGCACGCCTCTAGTCGTCGAGAATTGCTTAAACCCGGGAGGCAGAGTGAGCCGAGATCGTGCCACTGAACTGCACCTTGCGCAAGACCCTGTCTAAAAAAAAAAAAGAGAAAAAAAAAATGGGGTCAAGAAATGGGGGGCGGGGGTTGCGCCTCACGAACCTGCCTGCTCTGCTGTGGCTGTATTTCCGCCACACACTGCCTTAAAAAACGAAAAATGAAAAAACAGAAAGTAGCTATAGAAGGATGGGGGAACTTGCACAGGCCGGTGCCAGGCTCAAGGGCCAGCTCCGCCTTGCCGTTAGAAAACTGGCCAAGGGAGCCCCTAGGATCTGGCGAGGGCCTGCTGGAGACGCTGGGGGAGACAGACCGCCAAGAGCCGCCTCCGGGCCGCCGCCAGCCCAGCGCAGGATGGAGAAACCCGGAAGGCCGCCCGCGTAAAAGGAGGCAGGCCGCCGCGCCTGCGCAGCTTCGCCCCCGCGCCCCCTCCCACACCGCTGCCCGCGCCTGCGCAGCTTCGCCCCCGCGCCCCCTCCCCCCCGCCGCCCGCGCCTGCGCAGCTTCGTCCCCGCGCCCCCTCCCCCCCCGCCCGCGCCTGCGCAGCTGGGCCCCCGCGACCCACCCCCACACTTCCCATCTCCCGCTTGCGCCTGCGCACCTGGGCCGGTCTGTCCCGCCCAGCCTGTGACGCCACGTGCATGTGGGCGGGGCCCAGGCGCGAAGGAGCCGTGGGGTCGCAGCCCACCCGTGGGGTCGTATCCCACCCGTGGAGGCCGCGGTGTCGCCGGCCGGGGTGGGGAAGCGGGAAGGACCGTCCGCCGCCTGTTCCCCGGAGAAGGGCACTCGCCCCCGTGACTGGGGCCGAGCGCACGGTGCGGGCTAAGCCGCTGGCCCGGGCGCTGGCGGGGGCGGCCGGCGGTCACCGACTGCGGGCGGCCCTCCCCACGCGGGCGCGCTGCGCGCCGGAGGACGGCCTGGGGGCCACTCGCACCCCGCGTCCCACCTCCTGCTGCCTTCCTGTCCAGGCTCCGCTGGGGCTCCCTGGACGCCTGGGCTCCGCTGACCGGTGGGGAGCACGCCCAACGTTTGGGGCCACGGGGCGGGTCAGATAGCTGGGACCTCTAGCCCCAGGGGCCCCAGCCCTGCTGGGTTCATTTATTCGGCCCGCGTTTGCTGACCCGCCCCCAGTCTGCGTCAGGGCCGGCCCCTCCGCTCCTGGATCAGCCCGCGGGGAGGCCTCGCGTAGCAGTTCCTGGGGAACAGGTAAGGTCAGGCCGCTCCGACAGGACCGAGGGTGTGAGGACGATTCACCCTGGCGTTGGGGTGGTGTCCGGAGGAGCTCGTAGGTGGTCAGGACGGTTATGCCCGAGCTGACCTGTGAGCCGCGGATGCCCCGGACTGAGGGAGGAAGAGGCCCCGAGGTGGAGAGAGCTGGACACCAGACCGGACTCCTTCAGTGGAAAACATTCAGCAGCCAGGAGAGCATGGAAAGGGAAGGAGAGATGGGAGGGCCCAGGGGGCCGTGGGAGGGAGGGTGTTTTTATTGTCAGTGCAAAGTGCAAGGAACCAGCCACCGGGAAGTGCCCGGGCAGCTCTGGGTGTCCCTCCAGTCATCTGTATTCCAGCATTACCTGCACGAAGGCACAGGTTCCACGTCACACAGGATGCGGGGAAGTCAGCTCTAGTCCGCAGGCGGGGAATCCAAAACCCCGGGCACAGTGCCCTGGGAGAGGTGGATTACAAGGACTCTTCTACCAGCTGTGCAAGAGCAGTGGGCGGCGGGTTCCCCGTTGTTACCATTGTGGTGACAATGTAGTCATTCTTGAAGGACCTGGCCAGCATGGTACAAATCTCGAAATTGCTTTTTGTCCCGCTCCCCTTGCCCTGGAGAGAGGGGCTGGCTAATATGTGTGTCTGCCTCCTGAAGCTTCGGGTGAACGACCAGGGAGGTGGGCAGCCCTTTGTGTCAGGAGATCTGGAACGCCTCCCCTCGCACCACCTCTTGTGTGAAAGAAACAGCAGGTGCTGTTGATGGGCAGTTCTTGCACCGGTTTTTGCCAAGGGGAGAAAAACCCATTGAAACCTACCAGGAGAATGAGTGGAGGCTTCTAATGTGCTTTATTTTCGGATACAACGTGTGTAGCAGGCATTTGCATTCGTGGCCCTTTAGTGTACTTGAACTGAAAACCTGGAACAAACTGGCCAACAGATTAGGCAGCCATCAATCTACATCAGATGGCGCCTGTATTTCCGAGAGGTGGCCTGCCATCCCCATCTCCTAGAAAGCCAGCCGGGGACAGGGCAGCCCCTACCTCCAGCAACAGTGCTCCACCCTTAGATTCTCCTCTCTGATTCCTACCACCACCTGCTAGACGGTGGCCCCCAGCGAGAGCCACACCTCTGTTTACCTGTGTACACCCTACTTCCTACCCCTGCCTCTCCTCAGTCCCCATCTGCTACCTTCCTTACAGCCTCATCCTACCCCCTCTCTCCTTAACGAACAGACTGAGTTGATTGAGTCTGTGAGGGATAACCTGCCCAACACATTCACGCTGTGGTGTTAGTAGTTCCCACAGAAACACCATTGTCCGTCCTGCAGGTGTCTCAGCCATGGACAATCACCTTAACCTAGTGGAATGAAATTGGTGGTTAGATCTGGGCCACAGGAACATGGAGGTGACCTGTACCTTGGGGAGAGGGGATGGAGTGTGATTACAAGACTTCTTCCCACCCCTGTGCAAGAGCAAGACTGTTCCTAGTTCTGTGCTTTCTCAACACTGTTCTAGCCAGGTGTGGTGGCTCATGCCTGTAATCCCAGCACTTTGGGAGACCAAGGCGGTCAGATCACGAGGTCAAGAGTTTGAGACCAGCCTGACCAACATGGTGAAACCCCATCTCGACTAAAAATACAAAAATTAGCTGGGCATGGTGGTGGGTGCCTGTAATCCCAGCTACTCAGGAGGAGATTGAGGCAGGAGAATCATTCATCCAGGGAGGCAGAGGTTGCAGTGAGCCAAGATCGCACCATTGCACTCCAGTCTGGGTGACAGAGTGAGACTCCGTGTCAAAAACAAAAAAATACTGTGTTCTAGTTGGACTCCTATTTTTGTCTTCCTGAACTTGTTGTTGTGTACTTCCATAATTGTCTATGTAAGGTGTGTCTGTATGTGAGTGTTTTTTGGATATCTACAGTATCTCAACTTTGTTCTTTTCAAATCATTTTGACAGTTTAGGGTGCCTTGGAATTCCATGTGAGTTTTATAATTTCTATTTCTGCCAAAAACATTGTCAGAATTTTGACAGGTTGCATTGAACCTGTAGATCACTTTGGGTAGTGTTGACATCTTAATATTATTAAGTCTTCCAGTCCATGAACACAAGATATCTTTGTATTTGTGTCATCTTTAAGTTCATTCATCAATGTTTGTAGTATTCAATGTGCAAGACTTTCACCTCCTTCTCTAACACGATTCCTAAGTATTTTATTCTTTTTCATGCTTTTGTAAGTTGAATTGTTTTAATTTCTTTTTTTTTTATTGTTTATAGGTAGGGTGTGGAAACAACTGATTTATGTGTATTGATTTCGTGTCTTGCTGAATTTGTTTATTCTAACAGGTTTTGTGTGTGTGTGTGTGTAATCTTTAGGGTTTTCTACATGTGTAATCCTGTGAACAGAAAGAATTTTACGTCTCACTTTCTCATTTGGATGCCCTTTATTTATTTTTCTTTCCTAATTGTTATGGCTAGAACTTTCAATATTACGTTAAATACAAGCAAAAGCAGATATACTTTCCTGTTCCTGATCTTACATGAAAAGTTTTCAGTCTTTTACCATTGGGTATGATATTTGCTGTGGTTTTTCCTGTACAACCATTATTATGTTGAGGTAGTTTCCTTCTATTCATAGTTTGTTGATTGTTTTGTTATGAAAAGGTGATAGATGTTATTAAATGCTTTTTCTGCATCAATTGAAATGATCGTGTTGGGTATATTTTTCCTTCATTTTTTTAATATGATATATTACATTGATTGATTTTTCTTTGTTGAAATGTCCTTGCATTCCAGGAATAAATCCCACCTGGTCATGGTGTATAATCTTTTTATTATTCTGTTGAATTTAGTTTGCTGGTATTTGTTGAGGATTTTTGCACCGACATTTATAAGGGACGCTGGCCTGTACTTTGTCTACGTTGGTATAGCGACTCCTGCTCTCCTTTGGTCACTCTTTGCATTGACTCTTTCCCATCTTTTACTTTCAGCCCTTATGTGTTCTTAGATCTCACGAGTTTCTTGTAGATAGACTATACAGCTGACCGTTGAACAACATAGGTTAGGGATACCAACCCCACCCCCACCCCGCCACAGTCGAAAATCCAGGTGTAACTTCAGCCTAGAATACAGTGGTACAATCATGGGTTACTGCAGCCTCGAACTCCAGAGCTGAAGTGATCCTCCCACCTCGGCCTCCCAAGTAGCCTGGGACTACAGGCGCATATCACCACGTCCAGCTAATTTGTTGATTTTTTTCTGTAGTGACAGGTCTCCCTATGTTGCCCAAACTGGTCTCAAACTCCTGAGCTCAAGAGATCCTCTCACCTCCACCTCCCAAACTGGTAGCCTACTGTTGAAGAAGCCTTAGTGATAACATAAACAGTTGATTAACACATAGTTTGTATGTTATATGAATTATATGCTTTATTATTACTATAAGGTAACCTAGTGAACAGAAAATGTTACTATAATAAGAAATCATAAGGAAGACAGGATGTATTTTCTATTTATTAAGTGGAAGTGGATTATCATAAGGGTCTTCATCTTCACTGTCTTCATGTTGAGTAAGTGGAAGAGGAGATGAAAGAGGAGAGGCTGATCTTTACTGTCTCAGAGGTGGCAAGGCTGGAAGAAAACCTGGGTCTAAGTAGATCTGCGCAGTTTAAACCCATGTTGTTTGAGGGTCAGCTGTTGTCTGGTCCTGTTTTTTGTTTTTGTTTTTTTGTTTGTTTGGTGTTTTGTTTTTGTTTTTTGTTTTCAGACGGAGTCTCGCTCGGTCGCCCAGGCTGGAGTGCAGTGGCACAATCTTAGCTCACTGCAACCTCCACCTCCCAGGTTCAAGCGATTCTGCCTTAGCCTCCTGAGTAGCTGGGGCTACAGGCACATACCACTGCACCCAGCCAGGTCCTGTTTTTTCATCCGTTCTGTCAATATGTGTCTCTTGATTGAGGAATTAATCCATTTCTATTTAAAGTAATTACTGATGGGGAAGGACTTGTTTTTGCTATTTTGTTGTTTGTATATGTTTTGTAGCTGTTTTATCCTTCATTACTACCTTCTTTTGTATTTAGTTGACTGTTTGTAGATTCTGTTTTTTTATTTCCTTCTCATTTTCTTTTGCGTATATGCTACAAATATTTTCTTTGTGGTTACTGCCATAGGGATTACATACCCAACATCCTAAAGTTATGGCAATCTATTTTAAATTGATATCAACTGTAATTTCAGTCAAACGCTCTAACCCCTCCTTTGCAATTCCATCTACCCCCACTTTGTTATTAATGTCACAGATTACATCTGGATATATTGGGTATGTACCCGTTAACATAAACCTATAATTATTTTTATGCATATGTCTTTTAAATCCTGAAGGAAATATTAAATAGTGTTGTAAACCAATTGCACACTAATACTAGTTCCTTTATCTGTCCCTCCATTTGCTTTTGTTGGAGATGTTTATATTTTCTTACAGCCTTCAGCTGCTGTCTAGCGCCGCTTTGTTTTAACTTGCAGACTCTGTTTATCAGTCTTGTGAGGCAGATCTAGCGGCAGTGAACACCCACATCTTTAATCTGGAAATGTCTTAATTTCTCCCTAATTTTTCAAGGACAGTTTAGCTGAAGATAGAATTCTCTGTTGACATTTTTTTTCTTACAGCAGTTTGGGTATATCATCCCCATTGCCTCTGGTCTTTGATGTTTCTGCTAAGACATTGGCTAACAATGTTATTGAGGATTCTTTCTCCAGCTGAGTCATTTTTTGCTGCTCTCAAGATTCTGCCTTTGTCTTTACACAGTTTGATTATATTGTGTCTTAGTGTGGGTCCCTTCGGGTTTATCTTATATGGGGTTTACTGAGCTTCTTGGATGTTTATGTTCACATCTTTAGTCAAATTTGAGAGGTTTTTAGCTATTCTTTCTTCACATAATTTCTCTACCCCATTCCCTCTCCGTCTTAAACTTCCACAATACACGTGGTGCATGTGATGGAGGCCCCTACGTCCCTGAGGCTCTGTTCATTTTCCTCATTCTTTTTGTTCCTCTGACTTGATATTTTCAAATGTCCTGTGTTCAAGTTTGCTGATTCCTCTGCAGACTCAAATCCCTCTGGTAAGAGTTTTCAGCTTAAGTTTTGTATTTCTGAGTTCCACAGCTTCTGTTTGATTCCTTTTTATAATTTCTTATTTTGTTGTCATATGTTGTTTTCTTGATTTCTTTTAACTCTTTATCTGTTTTCCTTCAGCTCTTTTAGCATGTTTAAGATAGTCATTTTTGAGTCTCGGTCAAGTACGTCCAGTGCGTGTGTTTCTTCAGGGATGGGTTCTGCCACTTCATTTTCTTCCTCTGTATGAGCTGTGTTTTCCTGTTTCTTTGTATGCCTTGTGATTTTTTTTATTTTTATTTATTTATTTATTTTTTTTTTGCTGAATTTTGGGCATTTGAAAAACAGCTCCATCTCCCAGTCTTTACAGGCTACCTCTGTACTGGGAACGACCCCAATGAATAGCAGGATCTGTCTCAGCCTGGGGATCAGCTCTGGATGAAGGCTGAAGTCTCCTCAGGTTTCTTCTGAGGATGCATCTTCCCTGGGCCTATGTATGTGTTTTTGTTTTTTTTCAATTTCCCCATATTCATGGCTATTTTAAAATATCTTCCTTTCCCTATGAATACTTTCAAGCTTCCCTTTGGAATATACCAAGGAATGCATTTGGAGTTACCTTTGTTATTCTATGTCGTAAATTTAGATTCTGGAATTGGGGTTTGGTGGTGTGATGTGTTGCTCACATGTAGCCAGAACTCCTGTTCCTAAAAGGACTTTGAGATCAAGGAACACATGTTTAATCTCCCTTTATGCCTTGGTTCTAGTTCCTCTTTCCAAGTTGAATAACCAATTTTTCATTGCTGGTTTGTTTAAGTTGGTGCTCTGAAGCTTAATCTCAGTACCCTTAACTCTGAATTGTCAAATTTTGATAAAATGTGTGCCCCTTTTTTTGGGTAAGAGAAAGCAGGACTTACTCGCTGCTGGACCACCATTTATATGCCTTGATGGCCGCATTAAACTTTTACAGAGCTTTAAAAATATGTATGTCTTACTTTCCCAAAGTCTCCCCGAGTCTCTCCTTGGGTCTGAGATGTTCTACTGTGTTTCTCCAGCTGCCATTCTTGCCCCAGGTATGCATGGGGCCATAGTCACCCTGCAGCTTTGCCTAGTAGTGCCCGCAGCCATTTTCCCTGACTTCCTGTCTGAGCTCTGAGCTCAGAGTCAGGTGAAACAGAGACCTGTTCCTCAGGCAGCCCAAGATAGATTAGGACATTGCAAAAAGGTCTGCTCTGCTCCCTCCAGTTCGATGGAAGGAATTGGGAACAAGGCTCCTGCTTTCATCAGGCAGCACTGTGCTGCGGAGGCATCGGGCAGGGGTGAATGAAACACCCCAGAGTTCCTGACATCCTGACTGTGGCTGCTTCTGGTCTGAGCATTCTCTTGGTTGCTATAGATCATTGCTTGTTTTGCAGAGCTCCTGTACAGTATTACAGCCAGTCTCTAGTTGTTTTTAATGTTTCTGTCGGGGAACGAAGGCCTTTGTGCTTCCTCTTTTGCCATCTTGCTGTGTCCTCTCCCCGTTAATGGATTTTCTACAGGACTCTGTTGTGTGTCTGGCAACGCTATAGAAGGTATGGGAGTGGGCTGGGTGGCTTACGCCTGTAATCCTTGCACTTTGAGAGGCCGAGGTGGGTGGATCACAAGGTCAGGAGTTCAAGACCTGCCTGACCAAGATGGTGAAACCCCTTCTCTACTAAAAATACAAAAATTAGCTGGGCACACTGGCAAGTGACTGTGATCCCAGCTACTTGAGGCAGAGGTAGGAGAATCGCCTGAACCCAGGCAGCAGAGGTTGCAGTGAGCCGAGATCGCACCACTGCACTCCAGCCTAGGTGACAGAGTGGGACTCCATCTCAAAAAAAAAAAAAAAAAAAGGTGCAGGGGGGGGTGGAGGAACAGCCTCTTCCATTCTAGAGAAGGGAAGGGCTTGGCTGCCATGCAGGGCAGCAGCAGCACAAGATAAGCTGAGTGCCTGCCCCAGGGCTCATGGCCTAGAGGGGAGACACAGACCTGCAGGAACCAGGTCCATGAACACGCATCATCACAGATCCTGGTGGTGGATGTGGAGAGCTCAGAGAGTGCATGATGGGGGCATCCAGGAAGGGGGTGGCAGTGACATTTCAGTGGAGGTTTCAGAGTGAAGACACGGTGCCAGGCTGGTGGACAAGCATTCTGGGAATGCATATCAGTCTGTGCATGGGGCCTGAGGCAGGGAGGAACTGAGTTCTAGGGGCAGAAGAAGGCACTGTTCTCAGAGCACTGTGGGCAAGGACAAAAGAGGAGTGCAGCGAAGCAGCAGGGGCTGCGGGTTCGAGTCCAGGCAGAGGCTGCAACATGATCCTGAGAGCTATGGGAAGCTCCCCAGTGTGGTGGGACCCAGGCCCAGAATAGGGCTGGGGAGGGCTGCACCTTGGCACCTGCCAGGAGAACCTTTTTGTAGCCCTTCTTGTGGCAGACGCTCAGGTAAGCGTGGTTTTTCCTGTCTCGCCCCAGCTTAGGTGGCCAGGCCACTGGTGAGGCCTCTCCCCTTGGCACAGGGCACTGTGGCAGTGCTTGTCTGACCTCTCTGAGCCCGAGGACATCCAGCTATGGCCACAGGTGACACCTCAGTAAGGAGGGGCCAGGAAGGGCCTGCTCCCTGTGCTCTGCCCTGCGGGCCCTGACCTTCCATTCTGCTGTGCCCAAACAGCCCCAGGTAGTGCAGGTCGCAGTGGGCTTGCCTCTTTGACTGCCACTGCTCCTCCTCCGCGGTGCAGCCATGCTGTCCTTGATTCTACAGAGATGTCACCTCCTGCTGCCCTTCTGTAAAGCCTGCGTGTGACATGTGCTTTCTCTGCAACCTGTCCTGAGCACATTGAATTCCCAAGCAAAGTCACAAGGGGCTCTCCCGTGAGTAGCCCCACATTACAAATGGGAGTTGCCCCCTCGAGGGGTATCTTGCCCACCATCACACCAGGCTCCAGGCAGAGCCACAGCCACTTCCAGCCCGGTGCCTTCCTGACCCCTGCTGCCCTAGGAGCGGCCACTCACCAGGATGACTGAAAGAGTGAGGGAGGGCAGGCCGCTGGGCGTTCCCCAGGGGTGGGGGCCCTGCAGTCAGCCTGTGCTTCTCATCCTTTGCAGCCTCAGTTTCCCACGTGCCGCCTCGCACTGGAGCTGCCAATGAAACTTGAACAGATGGTTTCATTTTGGGTGTATCGAACCAAAAATAATGGCACCCAGTGAATTAATTTTGCTACTCTAGTTGAATTTTTATAGGCTTTGGAAGTACACAAACATTATTTCCTCCTTGGCAGGAATGGCCTATGTGAATGAAGAAAGGTATCCATTGTGAAACTTCCAGAAAAACGAGCTACATTTATCAGGTTTGTCTGGGGCTCTTGGTAGTTGCCCAAGGGACAGAGTTTAAAGCTTTCAAAAAGTAAATTGCCTAAACAGAAGTATAAGTGAGGACTGAAAAACTGAACCAGATACGTGCTTCTGTTCCCATGAACAGTTTGGGAACACCGTCTACATGTGGCTTTTTTAACATAAATCACCATGTGTCCCAAGCCACTGATGGGACCCTCTCTTAAAGGAACCAGCAGCTGTGGTCTGTGCACCAGCTCAGCACCTGCAAGGTGTGTGACCTTGAGCTGGCTTTCCTGCCGTTATGTGAGACAGGAACCACACCTTCTGGAATCATTATGAGGATCACATCAAGCTTCTGATTCCTAGGGGGGAACACAGAGCGGTTTCAGGTTGAACGTTTTGTCCCTGGACCTGGGGATGTCTGACTCGCCTTGGAATCTGGCACCCTAACATGCTTTTCCTGCCTCTCCCTACTTCCCACCAGCAGCTGCGACACGGTCCTTGGCAGACAAGGATGAGAAAAATATCCAACCACGGGAGCCTGCGGGTGGCGAAGGTGGTGTACCCCCTGGGGCTCTGCGTGGGCCTGTTCATCTACGTCGCCTACATCAAGTGGCACCGGGCCCCCGCCACCCAGGCCTTCAGCATTACTGGGGTGGCCCCAGGGGCCCGGTGGAGTCAGCAAGCCCACAGCCCTCCAGGGATAGCTGCACATGGACATAAGGTCTTCTACGGGATCATGTTTGATGCAGGAAGCACTGGCACCCGAGTACACATCTTCCAGTTCGCCCAGCCCCCCAGAGGTAATCACAGGAAGCGGGCGTGGGGTCTGCCTTCTCGACCTCTCATGGCAGGGTCTTGGGATCTCCTGCCCTACGCTACGGTGTGGGCTGGGCCTCCAGACACGGACTCAGCTGGGAGCTTGTCCAAATGCAATTTCCCAGAGATGCTGATGCCGGTGTGGGCTGGGGCCCAAGCATCTGGATTTCCCAGGAGTCCCAGATCACTCTTAAACTAGTGTGTAGTGACCATGCTGATGGGCAGCTGAGACCTTGAGGGTGTTTGGTGGCCTGTCCACTCCGCACACTCACCAGCAAGTCAGGTGGCTGGGACCATGATTTAGGCCAGTGGTTGTGTTTGGGGCTTTGTGGGGAGTTCAGGCCCATGGGAGCCAGGAAATCAGGAAAGTCAGATAAATAGCAGAGGCCCCTGGGCTTGACCGAGAGCTACCGGTTGGGCCAAGATGGCCAGGGGCAACAGCTAGGAGAGGCCTCAGCTGGAAAAGTGAGATGGAGCCTGGGCCCTGTTGGCTGTGCTTCTAGGGTGGGCCTCAGGCCAGGGCAGGCAGCTTCTCCCAAGGGCCCCCCCACCCAGTTCCCCTGCCCTCTTCCCCTGGTTCCCTGATGCCCCTCTCATGCCTGTGACCCTGAGGTTCACCCTCCACGTGTCTCTAGCCATAGCCAGTGAGAGTTTGCAGCCCCGGCCAGGCAGGTCCCCTGGGTGTCCCGGGCTGCTCTTGGCTGACCTGGAACCTGGTGGGTAGACGCCACCCTGTCCTCGCACGGTTCTCCTGGCGCGAGACGTTTCTAGCTGCTCTCTCCAAAGCTGGGTGGTGTGTTTTATTTACTTTTGACTCCATCTGCTTTATTTTTTAACTTATTACAGTAGTGAAATATTTAGATGCCATACCTACTGATATCTAAAAGTGACTTCGGGCCGGGCGCGGTGGCTCGCGCCTGTAATCCCAGCACTTTGGGAGGCCGAGGCAGGTGGATCACGAGGTCAAGAGATCGAGACCATCCTGGTCAACATGGTGAAACCCCGTCTCTACTAAAACTACAAAAAATTAGCTGGGCATGGTGGCGCGTGCCTGTAATCCCAGCTACTCAGGAGGCTGAGGCAGGAGAATTGCCTGAACCTAGGAGGCGGAGGTTGCGGTGAGCCGAGATCGCGCCATTGCACTCCAGCCTGGGTAACAAGAGTGCAACTCTGTCCAAAAAAAAAAAAAAAAAAATTAACCTAATAAATATAATTTTAAAAAAAAATTAATTAAAAAGTAAAATTCTGGCCAAGATATTAGGTATTATACTCATCTTGTTCAGATGAACAAAGAGTCAGAATTTAGACAAGGAATAGCTGAAGGGCCCCTGCCACTTGGGAATTGGTCTGTATTGTCTGGGTCTGTCTTTAAAAAGTGTGGCTAGTCGTGATTGTACGTGTTCTTATATCCATATGTGTATTCATAGTTGTACCTTTTTTCAACATGTTTTCCCCTTAGAAACTCCCACCTTGACCCACGAAACCTTCAAAGCACTGAAGCCAGGTCTTTCTGCCTATGCTGATGATGTTGAAAAGGTAAGGATCATCTCCAGTGTCTCCATGTTCACCTGTGGAATGTGTTCAAGCCGGTTCTTTCCCTTTGAATGTGGTAGGCTGTGTTCACAAGGAAAGGGGACTTTAATGGTGCTCCCTGGGCACTTCACGCCATCTGGGATGGTCAGATGAGAGAAGGTATGCAGCACACGAGCCCAGAGGAGAACTCGCCCCCACCCGACCCCCCTCCTCTGTCTCCACCATGCCAGCACTTATTTCTCCCCTGGGAGTCCCAAAGTCTTGGTACAGGTCAGAAGCACAAATCCTACAAACTTACAAAAATCATTATTTGACAGTTTACTTATTCAAATTTTTTTGCACTAATTTGGTCTTGTGAATTTTGCGTAATATATTTTTAATTTTTTGTTGCTGTTTCTGATTGAAGATAGCAAACATTGACTCAAACAAAAAATTAACGTTGTCCGGGCATGGTGGTTCACACTTGCAATCCCAGCACTTTGGGAGGCTGAGGCAAGAGGATCTCTTGAGCCCAAAAGTTCAAGGCCAGTCTGGGCAACAGAATGAGAACCTGAGTTCTACAAAATTTTAAAATTAGCTAGAGATTATGGTACACACCTGTCATCCCAGCTACTTGGGAGACTGAGGTGGGAGGATCACTTGAGCCTGGGAGGTCAAGGCCACAGTGAGCCATGTCTGTGCCACAGGTGACAAAGTGAGACCTTATATCAAAAAAAAAAAAAAAAAAAAAAAAAAAAAAAAAAAAAAAAACAGTTAAAAACATTACATGCCAGGCGCAGTGGCTCACACCTTATAATCCCAGCACTTTGGGAGGCCAAGGTGGGCGGACCACTTGAGGTCAGGAGTTCAAGATCAACCTGGCCAGTATGGTGAAACCCTGTCTCTACTAAAAATGCAAAACTTAGCATGAACCTTAAATTCTAGCTACTTGGGAGACTGAGGCAGGAGAATCGCTTGAACACGGGAGGTAGAGTTTGCAGTGAGCCACGATTGCACCATTGCAGTCAAGCCTGGGGTACAGAGTGAGACTCCAACTCCTCCCCCAAAAAATGCATTATGCAAAGTCCACAAAACCAAATAAATAGAAATTTAATTAAAATTGTCAAATAATAATTTACGTACATTTGTAGCATTGCTACTTCTGTCTAGGCACTGGCAAAACTGGCTATGGAGAGACTTGTCACTTCCTTTTGGTTCAAGCATTGCTTAAGTCATGAGCTAGTACACTGCTGTTGTCCACAAATGTGGCATGATCTCAGACAATGTAGTTCAAGCCGTGCTTTCCTGTAGCTTAGTTAAAAAAAAAAAAAAAAAAAAAATTATCAATTCTAGAGTGACCTTATGGTTAAAACTTATTAAATTAGATAAATTTAGAATAAGCTCCTAGGATTTTTAAGGCCTTACTGTACTTGGTTGAATCGGTGACACACATTGAAGTGGGCCAAATGTCCACACTCTCCAGGGCAACAGCTCAGACGTCCCTCTCGCTCCAGACTGCCTCAGAGGCCCACATCCCAGCTCTCTTAGCGTCCTTCGAGGCTGGTTGATGTGTATGTAAACAGAAGCATCCATATTCTTCTCCCCATTTTTACGTCACACCCACGGCGGTGTCCACACCGAGGCCCTTGGCTTTGCTGCTGAGCAGTTTAACTGGAGAGCATTGATGTCGGCATGTGCAGATCCTCAGTTTTTTTGGCTGAATGTTATTGCCTGGATGCCACACACTTACCTCGTGGAACCGGTCCCCTACTGAAGGATGTTTAGATAATGCCCAATCTTTCTCTCTTAACAGTAGAAAAAGGCTGCACCTGACACATACTTCATTACTTACACGTGCAAGGGGCATCTCTCAGATGAATTCTCTCTTTTTTTCTCCCCCTGAGATGAAGTGTCTCTCTGTCACCCAGGCTGGAGTGCAGTGGCACGATTGCAGCTCACTGCAACCTCTGCCTCCTGGTTTCAAATGATCCTCCCATCTCAGTCTCCCAAGTAACTGGGACCACAGGTACACACCACAATGGCCGGCTAATGTTTAAATGTTTTGTAGAGATGGGGGTCTTGCTGTGTTGCCCAGGCTGGTCTTGACCTGGGCTCAAGTGATCCTCCCACCTCGGCCTCTCAAGATGAACTGCTGGAGTGGGATTTCTGGGTAGGAGGTGTTTTTCCCTTGGACAGATCTAGCCCACGTGTCCCCACAGAATCACACCTGTCTGCAAACCTAGCCGCCTTCCTAGGCCTTCACTCATGCACACACTGACATAGGGCCTCATCCAGCCTTGGGCTCTCCAGCACTCTGGCAGGTGAAGTGGCTCCTCTATGCAGGGTCATGGGATTTAGTGCTGGGAGGGACTCCAGGACTGTCTAGTGCTACACCTTTGCAATGTCCAGTGGAGCTGAGGCTCACCTGAGATCACCCGTGAGGGCTGGCACAGGTCTGGGTATGGACTTGGGTCACCGGGCTGCAGTAGAAGAGCAGGCTTGTTCTCCTCACCCTTCCTCCCCCTACCACGTTTCAGCTCGTCCCCATGTTCCCACACACCTGCCAGTACCACTCGTGTCACTGTTTCCTGCAGATTTTGAAAATTAGAGGAAGAAAATATTTATGAAAGCAAGGGCTATGAATGGTGGCTGACACCTGTAATCCCAGCACTTTGGGAGGCCAAGGCAGGTGGATCACGAGGTCAAGAGATCAAGACCATCCTGGCCAAAATGGTTAAACCCTGTCTTTAAAAATACAAAAATTAGCTGGGCTTGGTGGCACACGCCTGTAGTCCCAGCTACTCGGGAGGCTGAGGCAGGAGAATTGCTTGAACCCGGGTGGCAGAGGTTGCAGTGAGCCGAGATCGCGCCACTGCACTCCAGCCTGGCGCCTGGCAGTGGAGAAAAACTGTAACAAAAAAAAAAAAAAAAAAAAAAAAAAGTTTTTCAAAATTAGCTGGGTGTGATGGCTAACGCCTATTGTCCCAGCCACTTGGAAGGCTGAGGCAGGGGGATCACTTGAGCCCAGGAAATCAAGGGTGAAAATTAGCTGTGATCAAGCCACTTCACTCCAGCCTGGGAAACACAGTGAGACGCTGTCTCTGGAAACAAACAAAAAAAAAACCAAAAGGGTGGAAGCAGCGTGTGTGACCCTGTATGCTGCATTTGACAGACCCCGTAGGCTGCATTTGATAGACCCCAAAGGCTGCATTTGACAGAGCCTATAAACTGCATTTGACAGAGCCTGTAAACTGCATTTGATAGACCCCATATGCTGCATTTGATAGACTTCATATACTACATTTGACAGACCCTGAATGCTGTATTTGACCAACCCCGTAGGCTGCATTTGACAGACCCCGTATGCTACATTTGACAGATCCTGAATGCTGCATTTGACAGAGCCTGTATGCTGCATTTGACAGGTCCTGTATGCTGCATTTGACAGACCCTGCTTTGCTCTTACCATGTTCACAGAGCGCTCAGGGAATCCAGGAACTACTGGATGTTGCTAAACAGGACATTCCGTTTGACTTCTGGAAGGCCACCCCTCTGGTCCTCAAGGCCACAGCTGGCTTACGCCTGTTACCTGGAGAAAAGGCCCATAAGTTACTGCAGAAGGTGAGCCTGGCCACTCCCTGTGCCATCTGCCAGCCCCCAGGGGCTACTGATGACTACAAACACCTGTTCTCTCACCAGTGCCGCACAGCCAGGCAGGACACAGATGCTTCTGAAGAAAAGTTTGCAGCATCACCTTTAGGTGAAGGGATGGCAGACAGATGATACTTTGTTCTTTGTGACATTTAAGGTTATTTGTTTTTTTCTAGAGTGAATCTGCGTTTTATAATAAAGCAACTTTATTTTAGAAGTGTACTTTGGGCCAGGGGCCATGGCTCATGCCTGTACTCCCAGTACTTTGGGAGGCCAAGGCGCATGCGTCATTTGAGTCCAGGAGTTCAAAACCAGCCTGGCCAACATAGCAAGACCCCATCTGTACCAAAAACAGAAAAATTAGCTGGGTGTTGTGGGGCATGCCTGTCATCCCAGCTACTTGGGAAGCTGAGGTGGGAGGATCAGTTGAGCTCAGGAGGTCAAAACTGCACTAAGCCGTGATTACGCCGCTGCTCTCTAGCCTGGGTGGCAGAGCAAGACCTTTTCTCAAAAAAATAAAATAAAGTGCATGGTGCCTTCCAGGAACTTGATCCCAGTCAGAAGCGCATGTGTGCTGAGCCCGGTGCTGCAGCTGAAGCCTGCTTGTTTCCCATGGCAGCCGCTCATCCTGCTCCTGGTCCAATGCTCAGACATGACTGTTGAAGGGGCCCTGTGGCCTCTTCCAGCCCCTCTTCTGTCAGGGCCAGTGCCCAGCACTCAGCAGTGGGTCCTCCTCACTCTCCTTACTGCCTCCATCCATTTACCAGTGGGAGGAGGGCACAGGGCACGCCTGTCAGGGTCCCTCACAGCATTGGATTGTGGGTCATGCGTGCAGGTGGGGTGTGCAGAGGTGCTGAACTGTCTATGGGTAGATCTTGCTGAAAGATGGGCAAGGAAATACCCCCAGAGACCAGCTAGCCCTGGTGAATGTTGCCATCCGCCGTGGAGGGCTCCTGCTCCTTTATCTCACATCCCAAAGCTGGGCAGTGTTTTGGAGCCCAGCAGGCCCAATGTGCCCCAGCTTCCCCCAGTCTATGCAGTCCCCAGAGCCCTTCTGAGCCCCAGGAGGCTTAGGACAGGTTCTCCAGTGCAGCATGGGCCTCAGCACGCCCTGGCGGTAGATTAACTTGCAGAGGATTAGAGAGGCCTGAACACAGGCATAGAACTTGGCAGGTGCCCCTGGGGTTCTGTTACTGCCTGCCGAAAGCTTGATGCGAAGCCACTGACTACAAATTCTGAAGGATGGAGAACGCTGGTCTGAGTGCGGTGGCATTTACAACTAATTGATAACAACCAGTTACAGATTTTTTTTATTCTTCTCCACCCCCACTGCTGCACCTGACTGACTAGCTAGCTAGCTAAATAAACATCCATTCATTGTAAAGGATGAAGAAACGTCTCTCTTTACATTTAGGTGAAAGAAGTGTTTAAGGCATCGCCTTTTCTGGTGGGAGATGACTGTGTTTCTATCATGAACGGCACAGACGAAGGTAAAGGGGCGGGAAGCGCCTCTGCAGTGGGGCTGTGCAGGGAGGTGGGTGGGAGCAGTGCTGCTGCTTCTAACTGCCCCCCACCCCCCCACTGTGTGGGAGCCTCGTCCCCGGTCAGCTGCTCGAGTGTGGAATCATGGATGTTACAGCCCCATTCTGATTCACAGTTGACATGTCACAAAAGGGTCTTTTTGGGGTCAATGTCAGAGATGGATTCTTATCTTGACCAACTCCAAACCTGGCATAAATGAAGTTTCTGAAAACAAAGCAGTTTTAAGAACGTTTGGAGAGAAACTCCAGTTGCCGCCACATTTAGAATGTTGTTGCATTGTTAATTCTAAGAGGCATTTAAGATTTCTCACTAGCTCCTGATAGGTCTTCAGTATGACCTGAGAGTGAGTATATATGGGGGAGGGAAGGGGAGCACTGGGTTCTTTTTCTGCTTCTTCCAAAAAGGAGGCCAGTAATAACCAAGAAGAGATGTGGCATCTGGTGGAATGCTTTAGGATTCAGTGTGCTCTCTCCCAGGACAGTCCGCCGGACGCTGCTGGCTTCATTTATGAGAAATGTTCCCTTCTGCCCAGTGATCCGAAGGCTGGGTATTGCACAGAAGTGGCCCCTTTGTGCTCCCCAAATCTGAAAATAGTCATTTAACGGTCATGTGTGTTATGCTGTATCTCAAGTGATTAAAATGCTGCCTGTGACACTCTCTTGCAGGCGTTTCTGCGTGGATCACCATCAACTTCCTGACAGGTGTGTGCGCCCTGCATCACAGACACCTGCGGTGTGCGCGCTGCGTCACAGGGGCCAGCCGTTCACAGACGCCTGCAGTGTGCGCGCCGCGTCACAGGGGCCGGCCGTTCACAGACACCTGCGGAGGGCTCGGCCAGGCCTTTAGAGAGCAGGAGCCTCATTTCTGCTCTCTAAGATAACCCCTCAGGGTTTTGCAGTGTTGCTAGCTGACTGTAGGGTATTGGGGATGGGTGGGGCCGCCCACCTGGCTGGCAGGTGTAGATGCTAGGAGGGGGTGCTTCTCTGCAGGCCTGGGGCATTTTTCTCCCAGTACAGCCCCTGCCCTGTCCCCTGCAGAACATCCAACAGGAGCCCCATCCTCTCATTTCTAAGAGAAGTAATGAATCAAACCAGTCATGTCTTCCAATATTAAATGTGATGTGGATGCTAATCACCTTCTAATTGGATTCCTCTGCTATAGGTGGAACAGGAATAGAAGCATCAGTTTTTAGAAACAAGTGACGAGTCATTTTTCTTAGCACATGTGGATTCTTGTCCCTTTGCTGGAATTATGGGAAAGAGCAGTGTTTCTGATGTATTTAGGAAAAGGAAAGAAGTTTCCTGTCAGGATTTGCCCATTTGCCGCTTTGGGGGATCGAAATATTAGCAGGTGGGTTGGGGACCTCCGCCTGAGATGCGCTGTGGAGTGGAGACAGGCTGATCAGAGGGCTGAGCCAGCAGCCCCCCTCCCAGCTGATACGGCAGTTTCAGTATCTCCCCTGAAGGTTCGTGCTGTCCCAGCAGGATCCAAATTAAACCGTAGCTGGTGGAGCCATTGCTCTTATCCCATAGATAGACACCTTTAAGTGGAGATTTGTCAACACCTGAGCTACTTCTCTGTCTTGTTTTTCTTTCTCCTAAGAGCCTGGCTTTCACCCTGGCTTTTCTGCGGCTCTGACCGTCTTACTAATGCCCCTGTGCTGTTTTTGCTTACTGTGCTCCAGGGAGCTTGAAAACTCCGGGAGGGAGCAGCGTGGGCATGCTGGATTTGGGCGGAGGATCCACTCAGATCGCCTTTCTGCCTCGCGTGGAGGTAACGAGCCCCTGCCAACCATGGCCTTCTTCCCACCCTGAGGCCACGCCCCCATGGGGGTGTAGGGTGGGGCCTGCCAAGGTGCTTCGGGATGGGGTTGGGGTGGAGTTGGCCAGGCTTCTGGACCTCTAAGGTCATTCCCTCATCTGAGAGTGGGACTTACCCACAGATGATGCTTCTGGCTTGGAGTTTTAATTCCACCAGGAAAAAAAAGCCATAGAAAGTTTGTCTTTTGAGGGTTGATAAATTAGAGAATACCTGGAAACATTTGGGCCAGAGAATGAAGTGCTGCCTCCCTTCCCTTCAGGGTTCCAAATGAAACAAGAGCAGAAAGATTTCGTCCAGTTCGTAGGTTGGGAGGGAACTTCCAGCCTTTTCAAGAAAAATATCCCAAAGAAGATGAAAACACTTCCCATTGAGGCATCTGCTGCTTTAAAAACAGTTCCCCCCTCACCCACTCATCCTCCTGTTGTGGGTAGTTTCCGTGGAAGAGTGGGCTTGTAGGCTCCGCTGTGATCGCCGTCCTGGCTGGGCCATGTTTGTCAGCGTGGGAGAGGTTGCCTATAGGAAGGAGGCACCGTTCTCCGGAGGCCCAGATGCTGGCTCCCCATTGCCTGCTCCTGTCTTGCAGCCAGCCACCTAGTGAACAGCTCATTTCATTATCTGTACCTAAGCATCCCTATTGTTTCAAAGGAATTCAGTGAGTAGGGGAGAATGTTCTAGAAAGACCAGCAGGAAGCATAGTTACCCTCGTTCTTCCCCAGGGCACCCTGCAGGCCTCCCCGCCCGGCTACCTGACGGCACTGCGGATGTTTAACAGGACCTACAAGCTCTATTCCTACAGGTCTGCTTTTGGGAACGCGGGTGGGGATGTGCTATTGGGTGGGCATGCAGCTCCTGGAGCCTTGCACAGCCCTCTTGAGGTCATGAATGGCAGATCCGAATCCCCGTGCTGGGAATCCACCCGGACCTGTCTCTCCCTGTCCTCCTCCCTCCTCCTCTGCCCTCCTCCTTCATCCTTTAATCATCTGTAGTCTAATCACATCTCTCCTTTCATGCTTATGCTGTTCTGCTTTGGAGGAAATTTGAGAAGTAGGAGGAGCCATGGGCCATGGGCCGCGCAGGAGTGCACCCTATTGCCACATGGCACCTTCAGTCAATTCTTTTATAAAGCAGGAGTGTCTCAGACTGGGGGTCTTGTCTGCAGCTCCTGGATGAGCTCCTGCCATGTGTTGAATTAATTAGCTAAATTCCCTAAACTCTACGGAAGGAGGCTTTTGGAAGGAGCAGAGAAGCTCACTGACTGCCTTGCTGCAAGCTCCCCCTTCCCCACTAGCACTGGGTCCCAGGGATGAGTGTGTTGTGCCCTGTGCCTGCTGTGACGCCCGCCCTCACCGAGGTGTCATTCCCACAGCTACCTCGGGCTCGGGCTGATGTCGGCACGCCTGGCGATCCTGGGCGGTGTGGAGGGGCAGCCTGGTAAGTGGACACGTTGCCTGGGGCCCCCTCTCTTGGCCTCTGCCCTCCATGCTCAGTGGGAACGAGGAGCCCCTTGGGAGGGCAGCAGCTTGGCCCTGGAGTAGAGGTCCCTCCACCCTCCCGCCCCACTGCTGCCCCGCTGCATGCTGGGCACCTGGTCAGGCCAGGGCATGCGAGGGTGGGGGGTGTGCTGCTACCTTGTTGGTGGCACCCTGGTGGGGCAGGAATCCAGGGTGGTGGTATACCTGGCCCAGCTAATTTTTGTATTTTTAGTAGAGATGGGGTTTCACCATGTTGGCCAGGGTAGTCTCTAACTCCTGCCCTCAAGTGATTGCCCACCTCAGCCTTCCGAAGTGCTGAGATTACAGGTGTGAGCCACCACACCCAGCCCCAAGCTATTTTTTAAAAGATGCTGGTGAAATTCCTTCTGAAGCACTGAGCTGAGGGTTCTAGGAACCTGGGGAACTGCACACTTATCCCCTACGTTGGGAGCCAGCTCTAGGGATGTGAAGAGAGGACCTTGTTCTCTATACAGCACAGGAGGGCCCTGGGGGTGCTGGACTCTTGCCATTGGGGAAAAGTTTTCTCTCTCACTCATGATTCCAGACTTGCAAGAATGTCCCTCCTCTCTTGCTCTGCGAAGAATCATGAAATGTGGGCTCGGCTTTTCCTGAGAAGTGGAGTTTGGAGTTGGACTGGGGAGGCAGCCTGCATCAGAGCCAGGGCCAGGGCCTCTGCTCCTCACCATGGGTGTCACAGTGGGCGTGGACTCAGGAAAGCTTAGAGATTGCTGTGGCCTGCTTCAGGGGTGGAGACTCAGTCCTGAGGCTGGTGGTGGTGCCTGTCTTCCCTGATGGAACTGACCAGGCCATAGCAGCCTTCCCAAGGCCTTGGTATCTGATGTGTGCATGAGGCACTCATCAGCGCCCACATGTGCTCCAGCCAAATGCCCTTCTCTGAGCGCCCACCACCCCACGGGCCCAGCACCCTGCCCACCTCTTCCAAGGGCCCAGTATCTGACAGGGCAGGATGTTCAACTGGAACTTTCATTCTCCCATGCATACACTGCTTCAGTTTTTCTTTCAAATCCTGGTGTTTATCTTCATAATGGTATTTTTTTTTTGTTATAAACAAAAACCATGTCCGTGTGTTAGAAACACCTGCAGCCCTCATTCTAGGACCAAAAAAACACCTAATATTTACACAGTGAGAAAAGGCAGGTACCTCTTTGCCCCTCATGGTTTCCAGGGAGTCGCGGCTCAGCCCCAGAGGCCTCTCCCACCCAGCAGAGCAGCCGGAGGGTCTCATGGTCTCCTTGTCAGGCTGTACAAAGTGCCCGTTTTGGACATTTGGAGGCTGTGAGGAGCCAGGAGAATGAGTCTCTCTGTTTTGTTATTTCATAACAGACTGCCCCAAGTAGAGTGAAAGAACAGCAAACAGCAGTCACGGTAGAACCTCATGGCTGACTGCAAAGGCTCATCTGGGCGGCACCTCCATTGCGGACCTGGGGGTCTGTGCACGTGCGTGTGGCTGGGTGGCTGCCTAGACCCCCTGCTGGGGTCCTGGGGTTCTGCGCATGGGCCTGTGGCTGGACAGCTGTCTACACCTGGACACTTCCACATGGCCTCATCCCAGCAGAGCAGCCTGGGCTGCTTTTGGGCAGCTTCAAAAAAGGAAGGCTGCCCTGAGGCCACCATTTCCTGCCCATTTCATCAAGGAAAGCAGGCCCAGGCCAGAGTCCAGGAATGGGACCAGCACCTCTTGGTGGGACAGCAACCTGCTGTCCCAGAGGGTGATGCTGGGGCCAGCCCTGAGACCAGTACGCTTCCTTTGCTGGTTTTGAGTCCCCGGCTTGTGTGTATTAGAGCAGCAGATTCCATTCAAGGCATGGTGGCACCTGGCAGCACTTGTCCTGGCCCTGCCACCAACCTGCCAGCTACTCACAGTCTCAGTCACTTATAAAACTGGGTGATGATGGCTCCCCTCCTAAGAGGACTGCTGTCACACTGACTGAACAGCCCTTGGCCCAGGGCCGTGAGCTGGGCATGGTCCTGCTAGCAGTGTGCTTCCTGGCCGATGAGGCTTTGCTGCAGCTTCTCAGGGAGATGTTGCCTCCCCAGTGAACCTGGAAGCCCCCACCACTCAGGTTCCCTCATCCCATGACAAGCCAGGGCCTCCGCAACTCCTGGCTCGGCCTTGGTCCACAGCGGTGATGTACCTTCCTTTCTCTTTCCTTTTTAAATCTTTGTTTCAGCTAAGGATGGAAAGGAGTTGGTCAGCCCTTGCTTGTCTCCCAGTTTCAAAGGAGAATGGGAACATGCAGAAGTCACGTACAGGATTTCGGGTCAGAAAGCCGGTATGATGGGGTTTGCTGCTTTTTGGCTTCTGAGGGTGAGAGTGGCGGCCTCCCCTCCCCGATGCCTTTCCCACATCCCATGGGACGCTCCCGACCTCTCCCAGAAGAGCCTGCACCTGCCGTGGAAGCGGAGATGGTTCGGCTGCAGGCGGCCTGCGCCTGTCCTGAGAGCCGGCTCCCTCCCTCGGCCTCTGCTCAGTGCTCCCCTGTCTGTCACCAGAAGCTTCCTCCCGAGGGCCGATTTCCTAACAGGACTGGGCCAGCTCAGGGCTGAGATGCAGGGGTGCAGCTGGGGGCCCAGGCACTCTGTGTAGAGGGAAGATCTGCTCCCACCCGTCCTGTTTGAGGCCATGGAGCCCACTCTCGCCCACTGGCCCTGGGCAGGCTCCAGTGCTCTGCGCCTTTGCAGTTTCTTCTGAGAGAAATGTTCAAATGCCACTCGCAGACTGGGCACTGGGCATGAGGGGTGCATGCCTTCAGCCAATGTGCAGGTCCCTGCAACTCAGTCACCCACTGGTGCACGTGCCGGTGGCCCACACCAGGCACAGCAGGACCAGTCAGCCACGTCCCACAGGAGGAGCCAGACAGTGAAGTTCATCGGAAAGGCCTTCCAGGAGAAGTAACACGGGCGGGGGTCTGAGAGGGTGATGGCAGCTGTGACTAGGACAGCCAAGGACAGCCTCGTGGGGTGACAGGGGATCTGAGACAGGAGGAGGTTAAGGGGAGCTGCGCAGATCTGAAGCAGCAGCACCCCAGGCTGTGCAATAGCATACCCCTGGGCCCTCTGGCAGCTGCTGTGTTTAATGAATGAGGAGGAGGTGGTGTGGCTTGGCGAGGGAAAGCAGGAGGAAATGAGGTCGAAGGGCTGGGGTGCGGGTCTGTGGACCACAGGAACTCTGGATCACTTGGAAGCACGGGGGCCGGTGGAGCAGAACTGGAGAAGCCGGGTCGAGGTGTGGGGCGTACAGGCGCCCTCAGACAACCACGCAGTCCATTGGCCTCTGGGGTCCTCTGTGTCTGCTCTACCCACAGCCGTGGGAGCTTGGCAAGTGAGGTGGGCCTCCACTTCCTTATCTGTGACATAGGGAGGGTGCAGGAGGAGGTAGGACACAGGGCTGGCAGAGGGGAAACGCAGGGCAGATGGTCCCGACAGGCCAGAGGCCAGCTGGTGTCAGGCGTCAGCAGCCTCCTTCTCAGAGTCCGGGTCTGCAGCTGCCTTGGTGCCCACGGTCTTCGCTCCCTGCTGGCCGGCACCAATAGTGCCCTGGCTCCTGAGGGCTGCTGTTGACCTGTCCGGGGAGCAGCCCCAACTTGGGGTAGGGTCTTAGGGGCTTCTAGACCTGCCTTTTCCTGACAATTCAGGCCAGGGTCTCAAGTCCCCTAGGAGGGGCCCGGAGCAGCTGTGAGGCCTCAACGATCAGATCCCACTGACTGCTGGCCTTGTGCTTGTCCCCAGCGGCAAACCTGCATGAGCTGTGTGCCACCAGGGTGTCGGAGGTCCTTCAAAACAGAGTGCACAGGACGGAGGAAGTGAAGCATGTGGACTTCTACGCTTTCTCCTACTATTACGACCTTGCAGCCAGTGTGGGGCTCATAGGTAAGGGGGCCTAGAATGGGCTGACCAGGAAGGTCAGGGCAGTGGAGGGCAGGGGCGGAGGGTGTGTGTTGAGGCAGAGGGCTGGTGGCAGGCGAGCAACCCTGTTGTCACATCCCCGCAGGAGGCCAGAAGTAGATTTGAGAAGGCATCTCATCAATAGCAAGGAGTAAGTCCCCTTTTAATAGATGGGTCAGTTTTTTGAGCCCTTCAGTGAAACCTCGTGGCTGGTGACTTGCTGTTGATTCCAGTTCCTGCTGGAGGGCAGGTCCGGCCCTGCACTGACCCACGTAGTCTCAGACTCAGCCGCACTGCCCCACCCTGCAGCCCTGGCTACAAGAGGCCTCCTGGGACCTGCGGGTGGCTGCCCTGTCCCTGTGGGAGGGATTACCTCACTGAATGTAGAATCTCTCTGACTCCCCCTGCCCAGCCCAGGAAGCCAGATCAGGCCAGAAAAGGGTATTTGGAGTTGGCCAAGGCTGGTGGTCATCAGGCTGTGTGGGGACTCTGGAGGGGGCTGCAGAGTCACTGTTGTGGTGAGAACATCAGAATGCATCGCCTGTGATAAGGATAAAAACAGTTTTAAATAAGAAGCCGATGTCATGGTGCTGGCTCTCTAGGTCCCATGGCTTCTGGGGGGTCTCTGTGCTGGCAAAGCTACCACTGACCAGGCCTGGGTGGAAGGTGGGTGGTCAAGGTGGAACGTGGGTGGTCAAGTTGGAAGGCCACCAATAAACCACCCTTCACTTTGTTTTTTAAGACCTTTTGTTTTTTTTACATTTGGGAAACTGGTACCAAAATACTGTTGCTGAGCTCAGTGCTATGGCTTCAGGAAACATTCCTGTTTTATTTTTCTTAACTTAAACTTGAGATTTTACTCAATTTGGGGTCCCAGATTCCTGGTAAGCTTTTTTGAGGGACTCTGCAGGGTTGGGATGTGGGGTGACCCTCTCAGCCTCCGTGCCCACCACATGCCGCGTCAACCAGAAGCCACCTTCAGCGCACATGGTGGCCGCCTGCAGCTAGAGGGCCTGCCTCGGAAGCCAGTCAGCACCTTGGGGCTCAGCGGCCAGTATTCCCCATTCCAGCTTCACATCTCAGCGGCACTGCTGGCCTCACAGTGCTCCTGCAGACTGGGTGTTGTGTCTCCCACAGATGCAGAGAAGGGAGGCAGCCTGGTGGTGGGGGACTTTGAGATCGCAGCCAAGTACGGTGAGTGACACTGCAGGGGCATCTCAGCAGGGATAGTCACCCCATGACACGATGCAGGCACTGGCCCCGACTCTCCTGGGTGTAGCCCCTCCTAATGGTGGCCACAGGCAAGGGCCTCGGCGGCCCCAGCTGAGAAAAGGCCACCATCCTCGTCCCGCCCTTAGAGGGGTCATGAGGAACGAGGTTCCGTGATTCCACTTCCTCTGATGCCATTTTGCTGCTACTTGGGTAATCCTAAAAGTGATTTCCCCTGGGATGTCCCAGTAAGTTCGTGATTGTCACATGACGTTGAAGAAGCTGAGGCCCTACAGAGTGGAGCCAGGGATGTGGGGGTGGGGGGCTGTCCCTGGGGTTGCAGATGATTAGCCCAGAAGACCCTGCGCCACACACCTCGCCCCTCCGCTGCCTCCTTCATGCCCGGCCCAGCAGCCGAGCCTTGGTGAACATCTCCTGCTCTTGCTTATCCTTCCCCGTGTGCAGGTCCAAAGAGCTCAACTTTGTACATCTTTCCAGAAAAAGTACTACCCTTCCCCTCCCCCAAAAGTGGCTTTTTTAAAGTTTTTGTGTCATTTTCCCATTTGTGACCATGGACACTGGGTATCCACAACTCTAGCAGGAAAAGGCTTTAAGCAGAATCCCAGGATGGCTGTTGTTGGATTTGCCCTTCCTCAAGAGCAGGAGTGGATTGTTCTGAGCTGGCTTTGGTGTTTTCTTTCCCCAGAAAGCTTAGGTTTTATTCAGGTTGGCATCTGGGAGAGATGTCCAGGATCTTAGATGCAGAAATGTGGCCCAGCACCAGGTGGGCAGGTTGCTGTGGAGCCCAGACAGTGGCAGCCAGGGCTGCCTCCCACCTGCCTGCGTGTGCATTGGGCATCTTCTGCACTCAGCTGCAGCCTTGTCTGTGAATCTGGAGTGGGTGGAATTGGGGTCTACACTTGCCCCTCTGTCCTGGGGAGGGAGTCACCTGGAGCCTAATGGGGTGTGTCTCATCCCCAGTGTGTCGGACCCTGGAGACGCAGCCGCAGAGCAGCCCCTTTGCGTGCATGGACCTCACCTACGTCACCCTGCTGCTCCAGGAGTTCGGCTTTCCCAGGAGCAAAGTGCTGAAGGTAAGGGTGCCCTCAGGGCACTCCCCAGCCCCTTTATGGAGGGAGGGGCCTAGAACCGCTTCTCCGGTTGCTGGGGTCATGTCCCCCAGCCCACGCCTGGCTTCCAAGGAGCCGCAGCCTCCTGATGCACAAGCCTTTCCTGTCTGTGTGATGGTCTCTCTCCCCCTGTCTTTTCAAGCTCACTCGGAAAATCAACAATGTTGAGACCAGCTGGGCTCTGGGGGCCATTTTTCACTACATCGACTCCCTGAACAGACAGAAGAGTCCAGCCTCGTAGTGGCCGAGCCGCCCGTCCCCATCAACGGTGGTCTGCATAAACCCTCCTGTCCTGTATGTGACTTTATCAGTATGGGCTTCGGTGGCACTTTCTGCACGCTGGCCCTGGGACTTCCAGAAGGCCTGGTGCTGCCCTGGCATCGGCCTCTCCCAGTCACATCTGGCCAAAGGGCTGGGGGCTGTGTCTGGACCTGGGCCCTGCCCATTACTACCTGTCTGCCTGGGCTCCAGGTGGGCAGGAGCAGGACAGAACCACGGTCACACACTGAGGTGGCAGCGTGGCCCCCCACCTGTCCCATCCCTGTGCCTCGTCTGTGGGGCTGTTGCTGCTGCTGTGTGTGTCTCTGCGATGGGACTCTTGTTTTGTCTCCCAGCCTGTCAGATTCCTTCCCAGGGAGTTCCGCTTCCCAAGAGAGCCTGGGAGACGGTGCAAGCTGTCCTGGCTGCCCTGGGGAAGCTGAATGACAGCAGGACAGTGGGTCTGGGCGGCACCACTGTGAACTCTGGACTTGAGCGTGCTTGCCCCTTCCTTGGGTGTGAGTGTGAGAGTTCACCCAGAGGCCTGCTCTCCTCATACCTTGTGTGGTTTTGGGTTAGCCAATGGAGGGAGACACCTCCTCATGGATGGCAGGTGCCTGCTCTTCAGGGAGTCTCCCAGCGCGGGAGGATGCAGGGCCTGAGCTGCTGTCAACGATCTGTGGCCGTGCTGCTTGAGTGACATCCCTGTCATGTGGGTGCCAAGTGCTTGTGTAGAAACTGTGTTCTGAGCCCCTTTTTTTGGACACTGACTGTGTCCTGTGAATGTATTGCTACTGTGAGCCGTTGCCGCCCAGCCAGGGCCGTGTCTTAGACGCAGCTGTGCCATGGGTCAGCTGAGCTGCAGTCCCAGAACCAAGCTGTCAGTGCGGTGTGGGTGCCGGGGCCCAGCCTTGCTGCGCTCTTCAGTGAATGTACAGTGCTTAGCACAAGCTGAACCTCATGTGTTCTATTCCCAATAAAAGGTTGACGGGGCTCGCCCTCCTCTGGAATTCCTCTCGGTGAGCGACAGCAGCACTTGTCCACCTGGCACCTGAGATCCCTGTTTACTAAAGCTTAGAAAAACTGCCAGAGGGGCTGGCAGAGGGGTTGGCGTACTTCCAGTCTGGTCAACATCCCTCCTGAGGACACAGCAGTGGAGGGCCCCTGGAGGCCGGGGCTGGTGAGGGTTCTGACTGGTGGCCGTGGCCCTCCCAGCATCTGTTGAGCACAGAGCTCCTCCCCTGCCAGGCCAGCGACCCACAGCACAGCTAGGTGAGGCCTGGGCACATCACCTTGGGTGAGCTGTAAGTCCCCACGTCATTGTGTTCAGCAAAGATCCGGTTTGGGTCTGGAAGTGTCCCAAAGGCATCACATGCTGGGGAAACTGCAGACTAGCCTGTGCCCTGAGTGCCTTTGCCTGAAGCCCCTGACCAACTGCAATAGGAGGACAGGATATGGTCCTAGGGCCTCCCAGGGCTGCAGCGAATGCTGACGGAGCCACGTAGTAAAGGCTGGTGCAGAGCAGGAAAGGACAAAAGACAAAAAGAGGAACAGTTTCCTCCCTCCAAGAGCCGGGGCCTCATAGTGCACAGGTGCAGGAAGGATGGCCGCGGTGCACAGCCCAGTGCAGCCCCAACCCCAGAGGCTGAGGGAGACCCTGGGACAGGAATGAACCCCTCACAGACCTGGAGCCAGCTATTTCTGCCTAGCAGTCTCCCCAAAACGTAAACCTTGGGGAAGTGGTCTGGAGGTCAGCGTATGACACAGGCCGAGAAAGACAGCAGGAGAGCTGGTCCCTCAATGAGTCAAAAGTCACATGAGGACTGGGGCTAGGAAGCTTTCTTTTGGTGGGCATGAGAAGGCCTTTCCTCCCCATGCGTGCCACCCCCGCCTGGGCTGGGTCCCTGCCAGTGCCTTTCCTTCCGTAATATACACCAGTTTAAATATTTAAAGAACTCCAGAGGCTGAGAATCGAAGTTGCAAAAAGGTAAAGCCAAAATCAATTTGGTCCTTTTAAAGAAGGCCGGTAACCTCATGCCTGAATAAGGCAAACAACTGGAAGCTTCCCAAAAGTGCACCAAGTAAGTCATGGAATATTTCTGGGCCCAGAAAATTATGCAAGTCATTTCTCTCTGAGTGTCTTTTGTGATAATGAAGTAGATTCGTCTGTCAAAAATAGCAACACAGGCACATCGTAGCACATCGTAAAAGAAGCAAACTAGGGTTGCTTGAAAATTCTGTTCCCTCAGAGGACGTGTGCACTGATGAGCTTAGACGTGTCACACGCCCCACACGCTGTCCCTGTCCGCGTGCCCCACGCCACTTAGCACCCATGGCTACCCACTGAGCTGCCTCAGTCCTGCAGCCCCGTGTCTGGATGGCAGGACCGCAGGGCAGTAAGTTTCAGGGCATAAGCAGACGTCGCCATGTTTCCTCAATCCTACTGGACAAGCACGGGTGCTGGCCTCCCCCATGCCCTAAAGTTTAATCTTTACCATTCTGTCAGGTTGAAAAAAATGCTAACTAGTAGTTTGAATGTGCTTGGATCTAATTCACGTGGTATATTTAAGTTGTATTTCTGTGAAGTATCTGCTCATATGCCTTGCCAATTTTCTATAAGATTGACATCATTTTTTTGTTAATTGTAGATCTTTATTTATTAAGGAAATTAGCCCATTGTGATAGTGTGTTCAAAAATTTCCCTCTTTTTTTTTTTTTTTTTTTTTTTTTTT